GACAACAATTGTTCGTACTATGTTCATACTCCTAAGAATGATGCAGACCTATCTGACAACAGTGGTGGTGGTCTGCACCCTCATAGTACTAGGAGCCCCTCCCAAGATGACCATGGACCCATATCTGGTGATCATCAAAAAGTATGCTACTAGGTGTCCCTTGGTATCCACTTGGAGGAGGTGTGATCACCCCAGGTCACGCCCGTGCTGTAAGCAATCCATTGGATGGCTGCACTAATAAGGTGGAGGAGTTGGAGCGTTTGTTCTTGTTCTTGTTTGATGGAAAAATTCTTCAGATGATAGTAGCAAATGAGTCCAACCGGTATGTGTTTGAAGATTGGGTGACAGAAGTTGAAGCTGCTGATGCTAATGGAAGGGGGTAAAGAAGACAAAGATGCTCAAGCTCTGTGATGTCACCAATCCCAACAAACAAAAGTGTGTTCTACATTCAGTCAAAGACCAATGGAACTTCCCTTCTGGTTACATCCTTGCCTGGCTTGGTATTTGTATCTGCTAGTATGGAGGTTTGGGTGGTTCAAAACAATCTCCCCAAATTCTTCGGACTTGTCTTGAGGATGGTGGTGTGTACTATGTTCCCATGGTCAGGAATACAATGAACAAGAATAGATGCCACTTTGTTAAATGATATATCTATTTTGGTGACAACAGAAGCAAAGCTAATGATACTGATAACACTCTACAAAATCCATACTGTGATGGAGAAAATTGCTAATTGTCTTTGTCTTGGGTGGCATGCAAATATTGACCTATCTGTTGATRAGTCTAYRATTGTTTACAAAGGAAGATGCATTCAATTTGTCCAGTATCTCCCCAAGAAGCCAATCAAGCATGGAATTAAGGTGTACTGTGTGTATGATGCTGACGCTGGGAACTCAATTGTATTTGAGATCTACACTGCTGGAATTAGTAGTTGGTCTACATGGGATACTTTTCAGCAGTTGGTATGTCAATCCAATCTTGGACAACAAAATGGTTGTCGACTGTTCACCAACAACTTCTACACTACAATGAAAGTTGTGACCAAGCTATACGAACAATACAGATGGGTATCAGATGGTACCTTTGTATTTTCTTCTGGTTGTTTGATAGAGTGGTACACTCCTGCTACATAGTAATTATCACTAGCCTAGCACGTGACAAGTTTATGAAAGAATAGAAGATATACAAACCAAAACAAGTTTCAATCTCATCTTGGCATTGCATTGATGAATAGAGGTATTGAAATGGACTAGAAAGCTCCATGTGATKAAGGTTCTAAGCCAGAGTGGATGCCTCAGACTTCAAAGAATGGAAAATATCATCCTTGCAATTGCAGGATTTGTTTCTTCTGTGTGAACAAGAAGACCAGCACCATTGCTCATGGAAAGGTAATGTCAAAGCCTCATATTAGTAGTACTAACACATTGTGTTAATTCTTAATAGGGCATATTACTATGTTGGTAATACAGGACTGGTGTACTATTAGTAGTAGTACAAACAAGTAAAAATACTGTTATTATTTATATTAGGGTATTGAAATCTAATATAAAAACGGGACTTGTAGTAGTACAAAATGTACACAAGCTAGTAGTTCGAATTTGTGATCAAGATTGATCACAAAAAACTGATCACAAATTTGTTATTTCTGATCACATTTTTTGTGATCAAAACTGATCACAATTTTTGTACCCTGCAGAGGGGGACCTGGGAATATATTTTAAAAAAAATTGAAATTGACATGGTTCCTGGGGCCCTGTCTTTAATGATTCCCGTTAAACTAAAAAGTCTAAAAAAGTCTTTAGTAGACTGTTTGGACTTTTAGACCATCTAGATTAAAGGGAATGACTCATTATTAGGTACTTCCTCCCTCCGGAAATGATTGTCCCCTAACAAACTTACAGTAATACTGAAATAAGCTCTGGAACAAGTACCGTAGGAACAGTACAAACGGTACAGAGGATCCAATCATGAGTCCCCGGGACCGAAAACTATATTATATATATATATATATATATATAGATCGAAAGCTATTGTATAGAGTGGGCCAAGAAAAAAAAGGGTTGTAACCATACATTAGCAATTAAAGATATACATACATATATTGGTCAATATTTGTTGTACGCGGTACTCCCCCACGACATTAGAAAGCTCTTTGAATTCTCTTTTCTTTTTAACCATGTGCTGCTTATCATACTTAAGCGTCTGTTGGGGGAAAATTTATTGTTGTTCAAGTGAGTTGAACCTCTCTTAATGCCCCACGTGTTTTTTGTACTGTGCATGGATTTTGGGCTATTTTTTTACTGTGTAATGACTCGTGGGATTAAAAATTTGCATGTGTTCGAAGCCAAAATTGTTGGTTGAGCATGTGGGCACAAAACTATTTGGTCGCACACTTGGAACTCAAAAATTCAGCATGTGCCCGGCTGTAAACTTCAGTAGTACAAGCCCTCTTTTAGTCAAAGTAGTCATTACACTGGAAAAAGATAGCCACAAGTACACAGCTGGAACTGTACATTAGCTGGCCAACTCTATACGATATAGTACTACTAGTATATGAGTACATTGTACGACTACTACTAGATACTATACTATATATATATACCAGCAAATGTACAATAATATCGTACCTCTTGGGCCATCTAATTACTGTGTAATGACTCATGGGATTAAAAAATTGGCTTGTACAACTGGAGTTTGCAGCCAGCATGTGCTGAATTTTTGAATCCTACATTCGTGGGACCAAATAGTTTCGTGCGCACGTGCTCAACCAACAATTTTGGCTTCGAACACATGCAAATTTTTAATCTCATGAGTCATTACACAGTACTAAAAAGATAGCCCAAAATCCCCGCACAGTACAAAATACATGTAGGACAGTAAGTAGGGTACAACTAACTCTAACAGCTATAATTTGGTCCCCAGCGGACGCTTAGTAACAATGATAAGCACATGGTTGAAAAGAGAATTCAAAGAGCTTTCTAATGGCGTGGGGGAGTACCGCGTACAACAAATATTGACCAATATACATGTATGTATATCTTTAATTGAAGCGTCACTAGTAGTTCTCAGAAGGAGAATTCAGAACAGAACTAATCAATTGGGAGGAGTTCTGTTCTAAAGTTGCTCGGTACAATCAGTACTAAGACCTAGACCATACAAGAACTAAGGAGCTGAATCCACACTCAATCAGTACTGCTCAGATGTACTTTTCTACAGTACTATCCATTCTAACTCAATGAATCCAGTATAACACGAGAAAGCATGTAAATTGATGGATTCCTTGAGTTAACTATTTGCCATTAGTTTTAGTCTCACAATCATAATTTAGATACAATCTAAATACTAGTACTACTAGTACTACTAAAATAATTCAGTACTATTGCTCTTGTTTAATACTATTTGAATGTGTATTGCCTTTTATTGCCATCATACAAGCAATAATAAAGTTAAAAAAATCTTAATATTATATTTTACCTCGTGAACTAGAAGAGACACTATATGGCCAGAACCATAGCTTTTGTTAGAAAGAATGCTCCTAGCCGCTCCGAGGGGCGGCACTTCCCTGCGAGGAGTGTTGATGGAAGTGCAACCAGGGGTTTTTCTGCTGGATTTAAAAGAATTGTTGTAGCTTGGTTTGGAGTAAACTGGAAGAATTGACAGGAGGAGCCAGAGAAGAATCTGGCACGACTGGCTGCTTGTGTAATTTCTTTTTGGAGTATGCGTCAAAGACCAGCAGGGCTTGTGTGACACTCTCCGGAGGTTGTTTACTATGTGGCAATGGTGTAAAGTACTGGGTAATTGGGCAGGTGTTGGAGATCAAAGCGCTTGTAGCTTGAGTGACACTCGCCAGGATCATTTTCTCATAGACTCGATGGTAATATGAGAGCATGGAGGTAGGAGTCTGCAATAAGAAGGCTTCCACATCTTCTGGGAATAGGTGGGCGTGGGAAGGGCATGTCTGAGATTTCAGGTTCGAACATTCTTCACCACTCTCTGTTGATGCTTCACTTGTTTCTKGGAAAGCGTGTAGCCAAGGAGATCTTTGTTTTGCTGCAAGCAACAATAATAAAGTTATAAAGCTTCAAAAGGGGGGGTATTTTGTTAATGCATTTAAGTTACAGGTTAAATGCTGTCTGTAGGATATCAGATCATGGGTATGACTCATATCTACAACAAATACATATGTATCATACCTGTGATTCATCCAAACTCTACATATGACTCACTCGATCCTACGGTATGGATCCATATTATCGACATGACTCAGTTGATTCACTAGCATGCTGAGTGACTTACTCATTCGATTCACACATCACTCGATCTTCATTCTGATTGGTCTTAGATTTCATAGTTTGTTGATCCTCGATAAGAGCATTGAGTCACTTTTCTTCTAGCACACAATTTATATCACTATTAGTAGTAGATAGTAGTCACTTCCACATTGAGAGGGTACTTCCAACGGTCATTTTGTTATGCTGCTACTAGTACTACTAGTAGTTGCTCATGTTAGTGTAGGTCTACTAGTATTTTATAAGGCTATTATTCAAATTGCAAAGGAGAACTTTCTTGTATGGTCATATCTTGTTTGACAGAGGTGCACCATGCCATTGTCAACATATTGTTTCCTGTGTTATTAATATGCTGTTTAATTTCATGTGCAGGAATAATTTTTATTCACGCACATGCTCATTTCTAGTATCTAGTACTGATTCTACGTATTGTACACAGTCATATTCAATTAGGGGTTAAGTGGGTTAAATGAAACTACTGTATTCCATACTAATTCTTATGTAATTAGGGGACTATCATATCCGGACAGTAAAATTGCAGTCATCGGACGGTACTTGTCGGACGGAGGAAGTACGTCACAGGGGTCATAATGACCCCTTTGTTGTAATTTGTATCGTACTGTACAGAATACCGTACTGTATTTCATACCGTACGGCACGTATGAGTCTTCTGACATCGGCTGCATCCCTCATCAGCACAGCTGCATTCTATTTGTGACCAAGGCAAAATAGACGAAAAACAAAAAGATTTACTTTAACCGAAAAAAGTAGGGACTTTCCACACTTTAGAGATCGATAATCAATAGTACGATATTTTCTGAAGTCAAACATTGAAAGATGGCGCCTGATTCTGTTGTTGTTTTGAGCGTCTACGAAGAGGGATTAGATCAAAATTATGGTAAGCATGTTTCCAAGAATATTGATGGTAGCCATCCCGCATACCAACATCCCGATAAACCTGACAAATTCGATGATCTTCCTCGCGAATACGCCAGCTGCTTCATTTGCCGAATTATTTTCCCGTGTGATCATTAGTGCGAGAAAGGATGCAATTCAGTTGAAAATTCCCGAAGGATTTCCTACTGAATGTTTGAAAAAGTTCGAATTTGAAGATGTGGACTTGAGGAATACCCAGGGCGAAGATGGATTGTCCCTTAAAAATATTTTTAGACTCTTTCGTGATAACGAAGAAACTATCAAAGGAGTATTAAATATCTCTGACAAATTAAAACAGATGATGCGCGACATGATCGAATATTTTGAAAACCAAAGCGACGAATCTTCATGGAAATCCGAAAACCTCTTCCTTGAAGTCTGGCGCGCTTACGAACAAAATGTTTCGTGTGTATATGGTGTTTTCAAAGACAAGTGAGTGTAAGTCTTTTGTTGATATCACCAGAATATCATTTGTTTTCGCGCTCAAATTCTGTTCTTACTTTTCTCGCAATGAAGAAAAAATAAGGTCATCACGGTGACGTTCCGTGGAAGTCAGTTTGCACCCTGTACCGCAGTTGGGATTACCAGGGACTGGAGAACGAACTTAACGAATTGGCACAGAGCGAATGCGACGCCTGATTTGGCAAGAGAAAAGTTGAAAGGACAGTTGAAAAATGGGGTATTCGTTCACAAAGGGTTTTACAGTAAGTCACAGTTGTTGAAGATTTTCTAATACGGCACCGTACAAACATCTTCATTATCCTGTGTTACAACATACCTAAGAGATGTAATTTTTTGTACGATTGCAGGCTATCTCTTCGACAACAAATTTCGACAGAACAAAAAGCAGACTTTCTTTCAAATGAAAGATGACGTTAAATCTTTGATCGAAGACGGAAATCCGGAAAACTATATGATTTACATCACTGGGCATAGGTCAGTAGATATACATTGAAATCAAAAAGTTTCGAACCGTTAATGATAAGCAACTCACTATCGCCTTGCTTGTTTGCTTTTTTGAAATTGGTCATGTTGTCTGATCGGTCAAAACGAAAGCCTTGGAGGTGCCCTTGCTTGTTTGTCGGCTTTCAATCTTGCCGGTTGCAGCGAAAAATGGATTCCAAAGCCCGTCACATGTGTTACTCTTGCTGCGCCCCGTGTAGGTACTATGGGATTCAGGAAGGCCTTTCAGGTGAGGTATTGTATCAAAATAGTAGTGCAATGGGATTGTATACGTTCTAACATTTCTCATCATTCGATTTTGTTCCATTGAATTATAGCAACTTGAAAAAGACGGCTTCTTGCGTCACCTTAGAATTACATACAATAAGGATGTAGTGCCAGCTTTGCCTTCGTTCTCGTTCGGTCTGTTAGGTTTTTCTCTCAGATTTTGGCACATGTTTCCCAAACAGATGAAGCATGTTGGAATAAACATTTGTGCAAGAAATGATAGCATCGATCCACCAGTGCATCCCGCTGGCTTAGGTTTCTGGTCTTCGGTAAAAAATGCTGTAAGAAACTTCTCCCTATTTAGACCCTTTTGGGCAGTATCCCGTTATCATGACACAGGCGGGTACATCAAACGGTTCAGGGACAACAAGGAAGCATTAGATAGTTTGTTCATCGATAAAATGTATCAAAATCCAGAAATTGTTGGACAAGACTTTCGAACTTACCACTACGTGGAGGAAAAGACGAACAAAGAGGCAAATAATTTAGATACAATTGAAGTCGCTTCGGCATAAATCGAAACCAATAATCTTCATCCTCACGCAAACCCTGTACAATCATTGATGCCCAGCACCAGCGTGTCTTGATGGACAATCCTGCAAGGATCTGAACTATTGACTTCAACAATTAATATTGGTATGATCTGTCTTTGATCCGTTTGGATTTTTTACTGAATTGCTCCAGAACAAATATGATAGTAATCATTTGTTTGGAAGCCTCCTGGCTTATCACCTATATCCCATAAACAAATGCTAGGTTTTTCCAAGAGCTATTTGCTCTCTTTTGATGATGCCTCTACTGAAGAAGAAGCATTGTTGTGCAGTTCCTTCTTCTTCTTTCTTGCTTCCTCCTGTGTTTGTAGAGGTCCCACCACCACAAGCATGAACCTCCCTTGTGGGGATGGAGTCATAACAAGAAGTACAGTCCTAGTAGAGGAAGCCAGAATGGTGGGAGAAAGATCTTCTATCAAGAAGCCATGGCTGTTACCATTGACTTGTTATTGACAACACCAGTAAAATTTGACAACTCCCAAAAACATTTTAATGAACCCTAGTTTTAGAATGCTGGTGCTTGTGTTAGGGCTGTACTACTAGCAAGCAGAAGAAGAGGAACTACTATCATATGGGCATATAAACAGGTGCCATGCTGCTGGGGAGGTGTAAGATTCAGTAATTGCTGATTTTTATATTACATGTATGAATATTCTTGTTACTATATCATTACCTACTCAATAGGCTGTATGCACTGTGCCTACTACTACTACTACTACTACTACTACTACTACTGCTACTATATAATCTGATAGCATGATTATTTCTCAGTTTATTCTCCAATAATTTCCCACCACAGCAGTATTAGGACGAGCAAAGAACTGAAGGAGTATAATGAGAACAATAGTAGTAGTAGTAGTAGTAGTAGTAGTAGTAGTAGTAGTAGTAGTAGTAGTAGTAGTAGTAGTAGTAGTAGTAGTAGTAGTAGTAGTAGTAAGTGGAGAATATTTTGATGAAAAAATACCACATAAAAAATCACAATTTAATGTTCATGATTACAGGTTGAATTTAAAATTTTAGACTTGACATTCTGAATGTTACTAAAATGAACAATTCTTGGAGTGTTTGTATCACTTTAGTAGGCCTATTAAACCTATAGATCCTAGTAATACAACAAGAGGTATTAGTATCCCCATTCTTCTTTTCTTGATCTCATTCATGCCTAAAAGTCAGATATCTTTGGTGTGCTGCATCTGTGCCTGTTCTGTACCTTTTTTGTCTCCATTTGTTACCTCTTGTGGTAAGAGACCCATGGTTTACGAGCATTGCAGTGGTGGTGTGGCATTAGATGGAAGAGCCTGTGGTGGATGCGGACAGTTTAGAGGTGAACGAGCCACTTGTGGGTGTGTTGGTTGGTTGACCTGGGCGGCACACTTTGTAGGCGGCAAGAATTTTGACGCAGGAGCAGCGTTTGGGTGGGCTGTTTGTTTGCACAGACGGGGAACAGTTTGCTGAGTGGGCTGTTTGTTTGCACAGAAGGGGAACAGTTTGCTGCCAAGTTTCTTGCAGATATGTTGGTTGTGTTGTTTGCCTGGCAGGAAGGACATTTGCCATTTGAGGACGTTGCCCATTTGGAAGGCAGGGTTGAGGGAGGCCTTGGGGTTAGGGACTTCTATAGTGGGGTGGTGCCCCACCTAGAGGAGATGTGCTGGCTTGAAGATCATGCAGAAGGTGTGGTGGTACTTGACCATGATACTTTCAAGGATGATGGGGTTGAGGAGGAGTTGTGATACCAGGGCGTTGTCCAGTGTGCCTTTCMACTGGTATTAGTGAAATGGGTTGAGCAGTGGGCTGAGGGAGAGTGTGTCGGGGAGTGCATGGAGGGTGAAGGTGTGGTTTCATTGGCTGCAATGCCATCCTGCTGGATGAGTTGCAACAGGGTGTCATAGAGCTCTGTTGCTGGGAGCGCAAAGTTGGTGCCTTTGATGATTCTGGCTTGATGGACTGGGTGGGGTTTGAGGTGAGCTGGTGTGTGGGTGAGGAAGCCTTTGCAGGCGTTTAGCCTAGTGGCTGTGTGGTTTGCAGCCACCATGATGGTATCAAGGAGTGCTGTGTCTGCAAAGTCAGTGATGTTGTCAAGAGGGTTGTCAAGGGGCTCAGTTTTTCTGTTGAGAGTTTGCCTTACTACTTGGAAAGAAATGGAAGTGGAGGGTGAGCACCACAGGCGTATAGGCTATGGGAACTGGTGAGGTTGAGAGCAGTGACAGCCTGTTTGATGACGCGGTTAAAATCTGATCTGCGCAGTGTGTGTGTGTGTGTGTGTGTGTGTGTGTGTGTGTGTGTGTGTGTGTGTGTGTGTGTGTGTGTGTGTGTGTGTGTGTGTGTGTGTGTGTGTGTG